ACCAATTACCAGGCCGAAGTCGGCCAAGTCATAATAGCAGCGAGGAGGGACGACAGAGAATGCGGGTAGATTGATACAGCACCGAACACCCGAGCCTCGAACTCGCGACCTGTTGGCTTAGAAGTCCACGCCTCTACCCTTGTCGGTATAGGTAGAGGCGTGGACTTCTAAACCAGCAGGTCTCGAGTTCGAGGCTCGGGTGTTCCACACTTCGGGCTTGGGTATGGCTGGCTGACGACGGCTAATAAGCCAGAAATGGCCATTCCAGTCTCCCTTGTCTTTGTCGGTAATACCATTCTGCCTATATATCGTGCGCCGCTGTGCAGCTGCTGGTTGGGCTCGAGAGAGAGCCCTTAAGGCACGACGGAACGAGAGAGCTCCGTATGAACGATCGATTATCGCCCCCTACCAATATATATATGAGAAGAAAAGACGATCTCGCGAACCATAGTTGTATTGTCCTGACGTTTGAAAATCAAACAAGATTTTATCGTCGGAGGTGAGTTTTGTACCACGCCTCACAGTATTTATAGGTGGTGATGGTCTCCTTTCACCGATTCCAGAGTGCCGAAATGCTGGGCCGAGGAAATGATCACATGACCAGGGAAACAAGTGAAGCCTGGCACACCAGTACGAACTCCATCGACCGCTGCGTAGCGCTTCCCGAAGCCTACCAGGCCCTCCGGACGCAGCTCAGAGAACTGGCGAGCAAACGCGGGTTACGAGGAGAAAGGAACCCAATTACGGCCGGGTCCATGGGGGACACAAACGCAGCTGCACTTCAACTTGGATCTGGCGAAGGTGCGATCGTCACAACAGTCGCGACACCCACTTGTCCAGCCGGTGAGAAAACGGACGTTCGCAGTAACAGAAACGGACCCGACGAAGGTGCCAGCGTCACTGCCACTCATCCGGCAGGTGAGAACACAGGCCGTCACGAGGTCGTAAAGAAGACTGCCAGCCTAGGACGAGAACTAAGATCCATGCGAACACGTGCGATGACGGCTAGCGCCCGAACGCCCCCCCCCCCCCGACGAGAGGTAAACCCGTTGAAAGGAGACCATCACCACCTATAAATACTGTGAGGCGTGGTACAAAACTCACCTCCGACGATGAAATCTTGTTTGATTTTGAAACGTCAGGACAATACAACTATGGTTCCCGAGATCGTCTCTTCTTCTCATGTATGTCCGGGGACGCGCATCTTCGCTTCTATCATATATATATATATGAAGGCAAATAGTTTTTTTCGGAAAAGAAGAAAACTTTACTTAGTAAATCTTTGACGTCGGTCGCCCTCCAGACAGAAGAAACGAGTTTTCAGATTGCACCAATGAATGTCTAATTTGGAAAAGATAGGGTGGCGTAAGGTTTGACGAGGGAGTGTCAGCGTAGTCACTGGAAGTAGTTTGTATCAGAAGTAAATGTGGTGCAGTCCACTTTCGCCAGCATGACCATACTTTACTTAGAAGGATTACGCAGAACGAAGGCCTTATCACTGTCAGATATACCATACCGCCTGGGTGATAAGTCATTGCCAACACGATCTCTGTCCATGAATGTGAAACCAAAGCTGTTTCCGCGGCCAGTTTATCCCCGACCAAAATATCGCCAACAAAATCTGCGATTAACTCGATCATGCCTACTGACAAATCCGCATAGAGTTTTACCTCAGAAAGTCTTGTCGGCATCTTCGGGATGGTGAAGAGCCGACTGTTTCAGGTAATGGCAGAAGTTATATTTTGCTCGGGTCTGGAAGGTTTGGTGAGAAGATCGAAGCACGTGGAAGTCGTGACTTGCCTGCAAAAGATTCATTTATTTAAAAAATGTAAGTCCCTGTAGGTTTTCGGACGGTACTTCAGCACATGGAACGCCTTCAGTCAGTCAATACTGCCACCTTCCTTCTATTATACAAGTGCATGGGACAATCTTTATTATGTCCCGAAATAAAGGTTTTCAAGCAAAGAAAAATAAGATGGCTGATTAAGCACCGCAAGGATTTTTATTTTCTTGAGCTTTTGAACTCATACTGGAGTCCATCGTCAGAGATAAAGCAGCCACAGAACAGCCGACAGTTAAAAGGGTGCCAGCCAATCAGGGATAAACGACGCAGGTCTGGAGGTCACTGCGCAGGGTTCTATGCCATCACCAGATCGACACGTAGATTGGCTGGGTTCCCGGCCGAGGTCGAGGCTACAATAAATTCCTGGCATATCTTGCGTCTAGCATGGGTTATGATCTTCTAAACCTAGTCCCCCAACAACGCCTTCGGTGGCTTCCGGGAAGACCTTGATGTATGGCGGAGCATGCCATACCAGAGGTGTTGTTTCTCTTTGCATCCTCCGGTTTACAAACGCCTTTGAACAGCCATTCCGCATAAAAGGGTCATGCGGACATCGTGTCTCGCGTGAATTCACCTGCAATGATCCTGGGTCCGTTTGAAGAGCATTCTCACCCATCTTCATTTGCGAGTCATCGGATGGTTGCTGTGAAAGCTCAGAAGTTGCTTGGTTTTAGTTATTTTCTTGTGAATTGCCGCCTCACTTCCAGCTTTAAGACGTTGCCAGACGTGCACATTAAGGGAGGGCACCTTCTGCTCCTATTTTTCTTCCTTTGAGGATTGTATACGCGGGAATAGTTTATTGAGTAGGTTATGAAAATCCTACAGCATGTTCCTCTTGGCGGCAACAAACTGGTCGTCAACGTGGCGGCGTATGTCGAATAAAGGTAGTCTTTTCCAGATCTTGTAACGCTAGTTCTGCCACTAAATCGGAGACCTGGGAGCGAACTGGAGTCCCCTTATTCAGCTCACAGGTTCTTTTAGTGGAAGTAACTTTTTTGGCAGAATTTGAACAACCTCATTAAGATTGCCGATTTCTGAGCAGACTCTAGGCCTCGTCGAATGCCTCTTTTAGTTTCCTGTGCAGGAGTTCGCGCACCAAATTAAATGGGCTGAATGCAAACAACGGCGTCACGTCGAAAGAGACCATGATTTCGTTCGATTGAATCCCGCTACCCTGGAGGTGGGGGAAGTGAGGTAGTCGAATAGCCTTGGAGGGACTTCTGTTCTAAATACATCCACTCTGCTAAATTTTACATATGGCTGAATTTTAGAGCAACAATTGACTGCAATGAGGCATTTGGTTAAGGGGTTTCAGTTAAACCGGGGAATCAGGCTAAAACGGTGTCAGTCGTTTTCAGTTGGCAGCATTTCCTTAGGCCTGAATATGGGGTATACGAAACTCACACAAGTTGAGCATGGGCATCTCCCGGCGTCATCAAACCTCGCCCTACCGAGTTTGCGTTGGCTATTGTATGACTGAATTCGGGTGGACACAACGGCCAGATGAGCGATTACTCGTAAACAAAATTTCCTGCGCACATATAGAAATACTTTTCCTCTGCTCACTAATGGTGTGCCACCATTATTTTTAAGTATCTTAATGACAGTCCTTAAAATTACAAAATATCTCAGTCCCTGTTTCCAAATAGTGCGGAAACTGACTACGGGCTCTTCAAAACAGGGACCCAGTTACTCCAGCCCACAAACAAGTCAATTAAACAAAAATGTTCCGTTAATGTTCCTGTATTATGTCTATGCATTATCAGGTACTGGGTGCGGATTTGTTTTTACGCGAACTGCTCTTATGGGATCTCGGATTGCCGAAGAGTTGCGGTTTCAAAAGTCGATAACTTCGGGCGTCAGTAACATACGGGGCGGGGAAGGTTTGCGGGGACATTATTTTATGGACACTTTTATCGCTAGCGTGTCAGTCGAGGCGTCATTAATGTCCGCTGGGTGAAAATTGCCTGTTAGGAGCTCGGCCTTCGCGTGCATGCACTGTTAGGACTGTGGCCATAAAATACCCTCAGGCGCAAAGGTGCCTGACTTGTTTGGTTTCAACTACCTCTGTGGGGCCTGACGTTCAATCAACCCTTCGCAAAACTGCACCAAAGGATTGCACGAAAGACTACACTGAGCTCGTAGACGCTATTAAGTCATGCCAAGAGGCATTCCGCATTTGTGAAAAAGTTTCATTCCATGCCAGTACTCCTGTCATTCTTCCAGCTACCACATCAGAGGGAACACGTGTGAGACCATACTTCCTGCAGGAAGTCGTTTCAGAGCATGATCTGGCAGAAGTTTGTAAGTACCAACAGACTTCTGAGAACTGTCAGACTCGACATTTCCGGAGCACCATTCGCCTAGAACCGTCAGCGTCCGCCGTTTGCTGAGTGTCTTTTAAAGGCACACAATAAGAGAGGGGTGGGGAGAAAAAATATTTTTGTGAGTAGGGAAGTAGACTGTTCGACTATCGAAACCGTTTCTTTATTTGTCTGATCTTTCGAACTCGTGCAGAAGTCCAGAGTCAGAGATAAAAGCGACAACGGGACATGGAACAGTTGTGGGGAGTAAGAATCAGTCGAATATCAGTAACGCCATTTCGGAGGTGAATTGCACAGGCAAGAGCAAGCATTTATAACAGATATGCGCCAGTCAAACATCATTAAGACTGGTCTAAAGGTGACTGCACAGGGCTCTTTATACTGGCTCCAGACCTATATACCTATTGACTGAGAGCTCACCTGAGGCCCAGGTTACAATCGATTCGCGGCTTGTTTTCCTTCTGGCGTGGACGACCATGTTCTTAGATGCGACGTTAGACTCGCAGCCCGTTGCGTAGGTGTGGGCAATCACTTGTCACCCCGTCACCCAACCACCTTATGTCCATGTATGCGCGATCTCAGCATGAGTGCAGGCTGTCCTGTGTACGTACATGAGCAGTCTAGGCACGGGATAGGATACAAGACATAAGACCGTTTCGAGGGTCTGGAACAGCGAGCTTTGAGATATTCCTCACTAACATGAAAGATTAACAAAACCTTTACAACCAAACTCGTCTATAAACCCTCGGCGATTTTCACGAATTTTAATCTCATCTCCTCATCTAGATCCCAAGCAACCTGTTGACGATCATGGCGGATTCATCTGTTTTTGCCATCTGCTACTAGTTTGGTCGGTCAGCGAAGAGGTATCATGGTCGCATCTCCCCGCGCTTTGATGTTTCTTGCAGCCTTTATCGTCCCCTGCCCGCCTGAACTTAACGCAGACCGTGACCGATCACCGTGCTTTCCTCCTGCCTCGCCACCTTGATGGCTGCTTCTGCTGCCATTCCGAAAATATTATGGTAGTATCTGCAGCAAATAGTCTCATCGGGTTTCGGAATCTACCCTGACGAGGAACGTTTCGACCCCTTATATACTCTCTCCTTTAGGACCGCCCGGTCTCACTTGCATATTTACCTACTCATGAGCAACGTTTTTGTGATTTTCAACCAGACTGGAAGAACTGCTTCACTGGTAGGGGGCGCTCACCGATCATTCATACGGAACTCACTCGTTCCGTTGTGCCTTAAGGGCTCTCTCTCGAGCCCAACCAGCAGCCGCACAGCGGCGCATGATATATAGGCAGAATGGTATTACCGACAAAGACAAGGGAGACTGGAATGGCCATTTCTGGCTTATTAGTCGTCGTCAGCCAGCCATACCCAAGCTGAAAACCGACAGGTCAACGGGCTCGTGGGCCGGTGGGTAGAGGTGGACTTCTAAACTAACAGGTCGCGAGTTCGAGGCTAGGGTGTTCCACACTTCGGGCTTGGGTATGGCTGTCTGAAGACGGGTAATAAGCCAGAAATGATCATTCCAGTTTCCCTTGTCTTTGTCGGTAATACCATTCTGCCTATTTATCATGCAACGCTGTGCGGCCGCTGGTTGGGCTCGAGAGAGAGCCCTTAAGGCACAACGGAACGAGTGAGTTCCGTATGAACGATCGGTGAGCGCCCCCTACCATTGTATATTCCCGATCGAAAACCGACAGGGCAGCGGGCTCGTGGCCCAGTGGGTAGAGGCGTAGACTTCTAAATCAACAGGTCGCGAGTTCGAGGCTCGATTGTTCCACACTTCTGGCTTGGGTATGGCTGGCTGACGACGGTTAATAAGCCAGAAATGGCCATTCCAGTCTCCCTTGTCTTTATCGGTAATACCAAACTGCTTCACTGTCCGTTACCCGTTTTTCATCTGAGACAAGCTAAGCACTGTACAATGTTTGAGCACTCGTTCCGAAATTCACTCTAAGACGTAGTTTTACTTACTATGAAACAATCCGTATGGGTGCTAAATAAATCAATTCATATATTTATCATTATTTATTTATTGCGAAAAGCAGGACAGTAAGACAGAAGCCGGATTCAGCCTGTGAAAGACACCAGCAGGCGTCTGATAAAGCGTCTCAGAAGATTAGGATGAGTTCTTATCTCCTTTGTGCGTTACGAATTTATACAAAGTTTTGTCTACTAGACTGGTGACTCTGTTGAATTTCTACCCAGTCTTTGGCGTTTTGTCGTTAACTGAATGGCTGTGCTGGCGGTCGGCTAACGAGGAAGATAGTTCTGCAAGGCTTCTTGGTTCCGCTTCTCAGTTTTGCGAAACTGTTACGGGTCAAAACGATCGGTGGGATATTTCTGTCGATTAGGTGCAACTAAATCATCCAAAACTTGGTATGCCGAGTGTTTCTATATGTGTGAGTACTCCGAGTTTCCCACTTGCGTCACACTAGAGACTTTTAACTTCCTAATCTGCCAACCCGACATTTCTGCGTAGCATTTATCTGCTAAGAACGCCGTCAGCTTTCACGAAACTTTAAAATTATACTCTGTTATGGGTTGCCATTCGGTAGCGGCAGATATATATGATGGAAAGAGGATCACGGTACCAACAAGAAAGCCATTTCATGTGGTCTTATGATTGCTTTCTATTGTCAGTGTACACACCCTATTTTACATTGTCTAGCTCTGATTTATTCGAGTCCGCATACAAACCATCGTTATAGAGACCTCTGACCGCTGTATTACGACCAGTGTAATATGCGCTATAAACAGTCTTCACCTTCTTTCCTTCGCCAATTTTTCGCCTTCTGATCTCGGATTCGAACATTGTTTGTATACATGCTGATAAGTCGAGGGTGGCCTCACCACGATCTCCTTGTTTGTGCGTGTGCCTAACAGTCTCACTCCAAACTGAACGCTGACCACGGTCACAAGACGCCAAGTCACTGGACTGCGCCTCTCGTTTTCGTACTTTTAACAATCATCAAGTACCTTGATTTGGCCTTAACCACTTCGGTAGTCAGTTCGTGGAGCCAAATGGATGCTATTGGTACTGATGAACAGCGGTAACAGCAAAAATCCTGTAGGCAGAGCAAGGGCATTGTTTGGCTGTTTTCGAAGCTCGTTTAATAGGTTCTCCAGAAAAAGGACTGCTTACAGATGCCGTAAAAGCGCAAGTCAAGTAGGCCCCCTGTTCACAACTAGTCCGCTCTTGTATGCGTGCAGGTGCAGTAGGTTGCATATCTCAGGAAAAACTAACCGGAATTCTGAAATGGGATTTCTGTTAAAAATGATTAGTCAGATGGTCCTGTAATACTGAGTATCAGGCAACATAATTCCATGGTATTTCAGCCACGCCAGGATATCAGATTTTGACACTATGTTTTTCCAGCCGCATGTAAAAAATGACACAAATTAAAAATGACTCATTGAGTACCATGATCTTTTCATTGATTTTTAATATGCATATAAACGCAAAAATATCCTATAGGAAGCATCCCTAAAAATATTTGTTTTATTGCGATCGTTTTGTAGCAAGTTACGTCTTCTGTGGATTTTTTTACCCAAAGAAAGGGTATCTTTCAGGTGCAATAACGTTTTTTAATGCCCAAATAATTCTGAACCTGAACTGTCGTTCCAATTGCGTACGGGAATCCTAACCTAAAAATTGTACGTTTTCCGATTAAACAAAAATACTTACCTTCATGCTATACAAATGGCATCATAAATAGCTCATAAATGGATGCGATGGATATGGTCAACGTGGTATATTGCATAAGGCACATTGATAAACGGGCAGATAGTATACGTTCCGACTGGACATTTTGTGGCCCTGAAATCCTGCTGTTACGAACTTTGCAATTGCCAGTAACCGTTTCTTTGGGTAAAGAAATTGAAGATTTAAAGTTGCGAAAATTCCGATTGAAAACTTCAAAAGACAGTTTGGCGTGCACACGTAAGCTTTCGATAAATTCTCATCAGGCCTATACGTTTATATTGCTATCGAAATGATTAAAAGGAAAATGCGCCCAAGCAGCAGTTATCCTGTAGCTTGGGTTTGCGGGGGAGGGTGTGGGTGGGTGAGGTGAAAAACAGAATTACCGTCAGTGTCAGGGGAGGAGAAGGGGATGGTGAGCACTGGGACGGACAAATGACTGACATGGCGACTTTGGCCCATGGTAACTGAGGGGCCTGTACGGAGTTCTTTTATGCGCATAGAACTGGTTTGTATAGCCTGATTGCAGCCGCCACCGCTGTTGCCAAAAGACGCTGTCCAAGTGATTTTGGATAGCTTGACGGGACCTTGTAACTCACTCGGAATGCCTGTCCGTAATCTACACCGTGATCTGTGTCTACCACGTGGGCGAGGATAGAGCTGTCGACATTCTTTACTTGGCCCTTTCCAAACCATGCTGGAAGGCGTTCCCTTATTCTTTTGGACAAATGCCAGTTCGTGCGACCAATATATTCTGTCCCACAGGAGCAGCCCAAGGAGTAAATATACAAAAAGTGGCCTCAGTTGGCAATTTGTCCTTGACCTCTCCTTGTAGGTTGGGGCTAGTGGAGAAGAGTACACGGGTGTCAGCTGCTGTGAAGGTGCGTGGTGCAGCCTGAATTATGTGCCTTCTTAGAAGTTCCCTTGGCGCGTCCCTTTGAAATGGGACTCTGATGAAAAGCTTCTTCTTTTCTGCCGTCAACATCGGGGGTTTGGTGGTCTTTCGGCCATGTACTTGGCAATGAATCGATCGGGGTACCCGTTCTGGCGAAAGAGATTTTCGACAATCCTAAGTTCTTCCCCAATGCTATCAGCCGAGCAGATCCTCCTTACTCTTTGTGTTAAACAAAGGACTGAATTACGCTTAATGTTTAACGGTACGAAACTCCCAAAATTGGTGTATTGTCCGGACCACGTCTTCTTACGATAGACGCTACGCCGAATACTATCGTCAGGCCTTCTGATTAAATGTACATCCAGAAAGGGGAGCGATCCGGATTGCTCTTCTTCCAGAGTAAATTTAATTGATGGGTGCGCCTGGTTGATATCATCCAGTAGAACTGAAACATCGTTTTGTTCAGGTGCAATCGCGAATATATCATCCACGTAGCTTTGATAGAATCTCCGATCTGGAGATGAAGATGCGATCACTGGAACAAGAAATTTATTTGCCTGACGTTTCGGATTCTCACTCGAATCCATCCTCAGAGACATTCGCAGATAAAGATGATGGTGGCACCAGGAGTGCAGTATTTATAGCACGTGGCTGCCGTGGGACCGTATGCGCACTGCAATTAACAGTTCTCGCAATCACCGCTGGGATCGTAATTGATGAGATGGTGGCTTGTCGGTCCGAGTCCGAGTCGTTAATTGAGGCGATTTCGTCATCCGTGCTGGATGCTGGTGTGACTATGGCTCGACAAACTGGCTCACTGTCACCGTGATAATTGCTCGCCCGCGCCCTCCCCAGGCGAGGGAAAATCGTAGTACGGAATAGGGTACCGGGATGGCATTGTGCTTGTTGATAGATTGCGGGCCTGAGAACCATGACTCGAGCAGCTCGCGGCTCACGCGGTTGTCACCCCATGCGAGGATTTCGGCCTCTTGAAATGTGAAAATATGACCGGGTCCCGTCGAGTGTGCTGCCACCTGAGAGTTAGCGTCTCCCCGCCTCACTGCTGCTGCGTGCTCGGCATTTCGCGTACAGAGTAATCTCCCAGTTTCTCCGACATAATTGCTTTGTCCGCAACTACACCAGATCCGGCAAACGACTCCAGACGTTTCCTGCCGGAGCAGCGGGTCTTTTGGCCTCATGAGTTGACGCCTAATGGTTGCTTCCGGCCTGTGTGCAACCCCAACTCCAAGTGGAGTGAGAAGACGACTGACGGCTTCCGAGACGTTCTTCACGTATGGAAGAGCCTGCCACAATTTGTGGCCGGGTCGTGACTTAGAGGACTGCAGCAGTGCCTTGCGGTGCTCATTTGCTGCACGCCC